GCTCCCATTTTCGCACCTGCCAAGCCCCTTTTGGCGGAGTCTAGTCTTACCACCCATCTCATAAGTGTCCTGCCTCCTGTAGTCTTACCGAATTTGAATGCTCTAGGTCCACGGGAACAGGAGTTATGAATTTCCTATCACACACACATACACATATTCTTTCTGCTGCTGCGATCCTTATTCTGGTTTTTTACCTCGAAAGGCCAAAAAAGAGAGCTATTTTCGCTGTTACTAGGAATTTTTTTGTTACAAAAGTGTTTTTGTATAGCCTCAACAAACACGATATAACTCTTTATTCGGCCAACGTTTCTGCATTGTCGCCTTCGTCAGGACCTGGAAGCCAAAAAGTATTTGAGATTCATCCATATCGAACACCATTTCAGCTTCAGTTAGTTCAAGTATAACCAACAGATATCTGAAAGGGTCTCGTAAACCATAACTGGGAACCCACCTTGGGAATAGAGAAGATGGCATGTGGACCACCTTTCAAACTGCCTATTTGAACGTTCCCGCAGTGGGAGGGCTCCTGGTGTCCTGACCCCCGATTTGAAGCCGATAGCAATTGTTGCCCACACAGGTCGAGGAACGAGGCAAGCTCATGTTATGGCCAGGCATTCGTCTTTCCGGTTAAATTTGGGGTCTTTGCGCAGATCCAGAACGCTTCCAAAGTCTTGCGCGCGGAGGTCGTGGGCTCCCACATCAAAAACCTGACTGAGGCTTCAAGCTCTACGTCTTCGTGGCATTGCCTACGATGGTTTAAGACAGAAGGGGGGGGGGGGTGCAAGCCTTGATTTCTTCAGACCAGCTAGGTGTTTCTTGATCCTACATATATATTTATTACATGAGTTAAACTCATGTGTAGATGATCAAATTAGCACCGTTATACAAACAGACCAAGGAAAACAAAACAATCAACGAGACTAACGTGTAAAGAATAAGGTAAACAAAAAAAAAACTAATTCATATCATGGGACTCAGAAAGAAAAGCAGCATAGGAACGGTGCTCTACGGAACCAAGTAACGGTCGATTGAGGTTTTGAAAGCTTGTATACTTAATGGAAAGGTTGTAGATCTAGCAAGTTTGAAATAGTTCGAGCCGGCTCTCGATGAGAAGAAATGAAATCGTAAGTTGTGCTTAGCACGCGGAATAACCCGTTTAATGGGAGCACCTCTGGTAACCGTGGGCCGTTCAATACAAAACTGACCAGGGTTGAGACCGCAATGACCATAGAGAATTTTATGAAATAGAATGAGATCGAACTTTCTTCGTCTATATGAAAGAGTGTGCAGCTGAAAATTTCTATTCCTTTCTTTACTGGGAGGTATACCATCGTATATAAACCCGAGGGCCCTAATCATCAATTTTCGAGTGAATGAGTTTTGAACTCTCTCAGGAGCTAGGATCGATTTGGCTTTATACGGGCTAAAAACAGGCGCGCCGTATTCCAAAATGGGCCTGACATAGGTCTTGAAAGCATGTAATAGGACCGCCGTATCTTTTGTAGTAAGGACTCTAAACAAGTTGTGTACCACTGTGGTAGCCTTTCGTGCGATATTCTCGCAATGAGTATCGAAGGAAAGGTTCCTTGTGATGAGAAAGCCCAAATCTCTCTGCTGCTCAACCTTCTTGATTGGTGCTCCTTCTATGCTGTATGTGAATTGCTCATTTTTCGACGAAAGATGCAAAACACTAGTTTTCTCATTCGACAGCGGTAGGCCCCACCTCCTAGACCAGTTGCTAACAGCATCAATGGCCCTCTGAAGGCGCGAGCAGTCTTCCAACGAACGCATCGGACAATATAGCTTCAAGTCATCGGCAAACGCTGTGCATGAAGCACCACACCTAGTAATGATGCAGGGCAGTTCAAATGTAAAAATGTTGAAGAGGACAGGAGAAAGGACGCCGCCCTGTGGCACCCCACTAGGCGCCTTGCGTGGATAAGAGAAGGTATCATTGACTCGAACCATGAACTGACGGTCAGTTAGAAAAGCACGGATCCAGGGTATAATCCGAGAATGTACCCCGATCGAGGAGAGCTTAGTAATTAGCTTTTGGTGATCTACTCGATCAAAAGCTTTAGAAAAATCTAAGTATACTACATCCACACTAACTCCTTCATCCAAGGATGCGGTCCAGTTGTTAAGCGATTCCAGTAGCACAGTAACAGTGGATTTCCCTTCTTGAAACCAGTGCTGAAACGGCGAAAGAATGGAATTCTCCTTAATATGCGCTACAATTTTCTTCTTCAAAATTTTACAAAAGCACGAGCAGAAATTGACGTGATACTGATAGGCCGATAATTATCCGGACAGTCATAAGGCGCCTTTTTTTTTGCAATAGCCCGCTCATTTGAATGACTAGGCGGAGTAACATATGCCATTTTCCATGTAGAGGGAATTTCAGACCTCATAAAACTAAGATTGCAGATATATTGCAGCGGTCCAACAATGACATGAGCAACGTTTTTATGAAATGAGTCGGTATCTCATCAGGAGTAAGCGAGCAAGACGAAGGCCAGCGGAGCAAGATAGCAAGGAGGTCATCAGCTTGAACGCACGCGGAGCCAGGCATAACCGGGAACATATCTAGTCCTGAAAGATCAGTCAAATCCTCTGATGTGCTCGGAGCAAACGCCTTTTCAAAGGTGGAAGCAAGTATTTCCGCTTTGTCTTTATCATTATGGAGTGGCCTGCCGTCATAACCTCTCAAGCAGCCAAGCTTGGGCCTACTATTGAGCCTTGACTTAACATATTTATAACACGCATTTTTATCACTTGACTCGATGACTTTCCTCTCAACGGAGCAGTTGTACTTGAATAACTTCCGCTCAAACAGGTCATTTAACCTGCGAAAAGAGGATCGACATTCCGGTGTGACATTCAGAGTAACATCTACCCAAACCTGCCTCTTCTTGTTATAGAAGCGTCGAAGGTATGACGGCAAGTGGGATCGAGATAAGGGAACGCGGATAATAGAAACATACAAGGATATGCAATGTTGAAGTATAGCTAAAAATAGCTCATACATATCGTCGACTGAGCGAGTGGAGCCAAAAGCAATCCCAGCCAGATATGTCCTGATAGCGTTGTAATCAGCATCTTTAAAACTTCGCTTCTTACCGAGTGGTTCACTGGCCGCAGCAGGTTCAAGTCGAAGAGGATACTATTATGGTCGTTACTACCCAGAGGGGGCGCAACAGTTAGACCGCGAATCAACCCCTCAGTGTTGGTCAGCACCAAGTCTAGAATATTAACTCCTAGTGTAGGCTATTTAACATGTTGAGTGAGAAAATGAGTTCTGCATAGGTCGATCAATGATTTGGCAACCGCGGAACATTTATCGTTGCAATGATTCAACCAATCGATATCAGGAAAATTTAAGTCCCCGGTTATGATGCAACGATGGTCACAGGAGATGAGGTCACTGATTGCGTGAAGTAACTGATTAGTGGCCGTAGCTTTAGCAGATGGAGCCCTGTATACGATTAAAAGACGCAAGGAGACGCTATCCAAATTACTCCGTACATATTAAAGGCATACTTTACTGATTGTGAGAAAATCCCCAATTCACTGTTGGTGCGCGAATCTTGTTTGTAATACATAGAACACGAAACTCCATTCTGACAATCATTTGTGATACCATAACATGCGCGATTATGGCTTCATTTTTTATTTTCACGTTCTCCTCGTGCGACAGCGTAATATGCATTGTTACAATGGAACTAACGAATTGCTTAGCACTGATAGCACTGAATACTGTAACACTTATGATCGAGTGAAAGAAGCCAAGCTCATTTGTGATTGAGAAACACTGGTGAAGATTGAAATTCTGAAGAGATTGTAGCTGTCAAGTTGAGGACGCGGTCGGCATTGATGAATTTGTCTTTTCTGATGCCCAGTTCATTGTGATGTGCTAAGTCAAAGTCTGTAGATCCTACTGCTCTTCATGAAAAGTTTCAATGGTTCCTTGTGCAACTCGAATTAGTCTGTAATTTGATGTCTTGCAGTTCCCTTTTGACCAGATATTTCTTCAGTAAGGATCTCACATACTCCTTAAAGGAGTTGAAGTGTATTTATTAGCGACCTATAATCCAAGAAAGCTCTCATTTTCTTACGCTATCCCTAATTCACGCTTCCTGTATGTCGATTCTTATCTCAGCCGCATGAAGGGGTGTGACGGAATGTGTCATCGTGGTAACTGGTCAAAACGAGGTCGCCGCATATGCGGTAGTTATGGCCGAAACGGCAAGTCAAAGGCATAGTTCACGATAAAATTGTTTTCTGAGAATTCTCATTAGATGAACCTGTGATCCTCAAAGATAACGCTAGGGGCCTCAAAACCGGCTTATTGTTAGTCGACGTACACAGCCAAAGCGGGCGAGTTTTCACGGAGCGCTATAGAGCCTGTAGGTTACACCAATCGCACCGGGACCCATACCTTGCACGCAAGCAACTTATTGCAGCCATCTATATGCAATAGCCCGCTCATTTGAATAACTAGTCTATATACCTCTCACATGCAACTTTTGTCGTCACTTTCTCGTCCAACCCCTGATTTTACCACCTTTTCAGGGATTATGACTCTTTGAATGCGCTTTTTTTCGCGTTTTCTTCGCTATGTTTTCACTTTAACTGACTATTACTTCTTTTACTCGTTTAAAACCAGATAGCTCACAATTATCGTGAACTGTATCTTTAGATTCTTGGCACAGAAGCATTCTACTTTCTAGGGATAGACCGCTATCGTAACCCACTACCCAAATGGACAGACTTTTATATTTCGGTATCTGTTCAAGTTTGCTTGCAGCTTTCAGAGAGATATAAAGATGAGCCAATTTCTAAGATCACATCAAAATTTTGACCATACCCATATCATAGCAAAATTGTTGAAGCAAATGATGGGATCCACAGATTCACTTGGTGCACAAGCTCTTAGAGAACCAAATATAATTCACTCAAATCCACACAGAAACACATTACTCATTAGAGAATGGGCTTATTTATGAAAATCCACTGCTTTTCCGTTGAGTACTTTCGCTTTTCTCGGTACCTGCCCAAAGAGGTGCACCCAACGCTTGTGAAATGCGATCACCACGGTAGAAGTCGTATCGTTCGTCTAGCGGTCGGCTCAGACCAACTTCACTGAAAAGAGCGAAAAAGACTGTGCTGGCAACCAGTTACACTCCTTCTATATTAGGTGTTCATGAGAATTTCGCGTAACCGTGGTGCCTACGGATCCATGAGGTGTACATGTGGATCATGACTGCCGGGCTTTGTGAACAGGTGTCCCGAGGGAAGTTATGATAAAAGAGCAGGCGACTGTCAGCTATCAATGCTCCTAACCTGTGCTCAATGACGTAATATTTTCTAGCATTTGGCCCCTCCGAGCTTTAGCCTGGGAAAGCCACTTCAGCAGCGGCATTGCCTACACGTACGTCAGCGGTGTGTTTTTCGGTGAAGCTACGGAATTGCAGGTCCGGGAATCTATCTATTGTACTCCATCTATCCTAGAGAACCATTATATTACCCATTTGCTGTGCATCGTTTTTATAACAGCCAAAAAGGCTCTCATCCATCTTATTTCCTAATTTTACGATTACTTCTCTTCTCCTGGTTTCTCTTGACACCTTTTATCCTTCAGTTTTCTTACACTCCAAATATAGTTTATACACGATACTTTATTATTGTCATGACAGATAACAAGTGAGATGGGAGTACATAGCATTCACTGGCAAATCTTTTAGCAATCAAAAAAAACTTGTGAGTCACGTTTTCGTTCGGTACAAACACCCGATACAGTCGCAGAGACAAGGAGGGGGTGGCATATTCGAGACAAGCTGTGATTGGTCACTACTGGAGGCTACCAATCACCCACAAGCCACGCGATTAACTAACACCTCACCTAGATCAAGTGTTCATGCTGAATGAGATTTGAGGGAAAACATATGAAGTAATAGTGTACTAGGTGTTGAACAACGACTCTTCGAAAGGCTATGCAATTCTTATATCCATTGTTGTTTGCTGTTTATTTTTTTTTCTGGATAACTTCTTCAGTCCCATCGTTGAATAATCAAACCTACATATACTGCATTTAGGAATTTAGTAATTGAAATTTCTGTGAGTAGCTGCTTCCTTCGCAATGGACGCAGCCGAAACAACAGACTCTCGAGAACCACTGAAAGTTTCGGAATCTGAAGATCCCATCGAATGAACGGGGTCACATGGATCCTCCTCAGCTACAGGGGCTCTTCCTCCAGCCCCGAATCGAACAAGAAACTGTCTTCGCATTTCCTCCTCGATATCGCTCCTTTCACCACGTCTTCCACCGGTCATCATTCGAACAGGGAGGCTCGCTCTGTGTTGCATGAAATGCTGAGCTCTCAGAGAAGTCTGCTCTGGAGAACCACCTCGTGGTGCTTCGGACATGTTCTGTGGGACCCCCATTTCCATTCGGGCGATTTGTTCGAGTGGTTCTTGTGACAATTCGTTCTCATTTTCTTTCAGTGCAGCCGTTGGGAGGTTGCCATAAGTCGCTAACCCCATAAGGTTATCTCCTCTGGGCTCCCTTCCTGGGAAGAACAGAGGAGAATCACCAGGTGAGTACATCTCTTCAACAGGGTAGACAACGTGTGGAAACGAAAGAGGCTCTGCGTCATCGTCGCTTTCCTCTTCCTCAAAATATCCACTTGCTGAACGGGGAAGATCACAAGTTTCCATTGGTAGGGGGGCTTGCATGTGTGGATAGTACTGCGGATACGGTCCATCATACAGTTCAGTAGCTTGTACGCCAGTGGAACGCATTTCAGCTGATCGCTCTTGACGATGCAAGGAAAATCCACGATTTTCATCCATAATGCTGAGCTGTGAACTGTCAGATCCTCTTCTTTCAATTTCACGGCTATCTACTTCTGTAACTGATGGATATCCACCAGCATAAATATGGTTCCTCTCTATGCCATCCTCGGACATCACAGTGGATCGTAAAAGAGCCTCAGCCATTGTGACATTATCGTCGTGGGGGCTGCATAGATTGCTCATAAGTTCATTTTCAAACTCACTCTGACGTGTGTATGTGAAACGGCGGTGTCGATTGAGTGGTCGTTTGCTCAACTCGTCATCGCTCATCAAAGCCACATCTTCATCGCTTGACGACATCTCATTCCGTTCAATTTCATGTAGCTGAACACGATCGCTGAATGTGACGCTCTTATGCGAAGCGAAGGATATCCGCGACGATTCGCTAATATTGGAATCTCTACGATTATCAGCAGACGCCATGCTTCGACTTTTGTGTCTTGGGCGTTTTTGGTGTTCCACGATATCCAAGGCCACCGAGTTACTATGTGATGTCTCTGGCCGGCTTGACTGTGAAGTTGCTTGCTTTGCAGGGGGATCGGGAGAATGCAATGGGCTGCCAGATTTTTCTTGTCGACTTGAGTTAGCTTTCGAACGAATAGTGGGAGATGAACGGCGACTTGTATCTCCTGAAGTGACAATCTTCTTGTCAGTAACACCACTCTTTCTATCGGGAGATGAGTCTGCTGATTCTAGTCTCTGCTCACCGCTTTTGCCCAGATCGGGTGAGCCGCTTTGCTGGATCTGACCTTGAACTGTCAAACTTGTTCTTTGAGCTATTGCATTCCCGTCTTTTGGTGATTCCACTGACTTCTTTAGCTGATCCGGAGCCACTGCCTTTACTGCAGCCTTTGATATAGCTTTTTCTGTAATGTCACCAGTGGTCGAGTTGGTGGAAGCAGCCGCCTTTTTGGAGGTATCCGTGTCCACCTTGTTTGAACTACTATCACTAATGGCACTAAAATCATTTTCAGACATAGGGCTAGTGCCCGGTTCATTAGTTTGAGATCGATCTGCTGGAGGTTGAAGTTTATCGCCAGTTACGGTAGGCTTCAAGCGGTTAGCTATAGCTTTCTTCAGCAGCGAATTTGTCGCTACGCCACTGCCCTGCCTTCTCATGTCTCTCCATTTCCGTGTTCGTGTCGCATCGTTCAGCGACCCTGGAACCCACAAAATGCAAACTATTCTAACTTCAAAAACTGTTCGTTTCATCTAAGAGTATGTAAGTTCGAATTTCCATTTTCATCCAATCGAATTACTGTTTCATAAAGAAGAGTTAGGATTAGCGCTCAGCGAGAAACAAAGAAGGGACTGAAGTAAAATTTTCGACAAAGGAGGCCCCTGGATTTCCCCACCCTTTTTGAAGTAGTGCAATGATGAGTGTGTTGACGAGAAACAGAACCTTATAAGCGGTGAAAACCGTTGGCTGGAATTTCTATTTATCAGTTGTCTCAAGGGAATGAGAGGATTGACTAGTGCTTTAGAGAAAAATGGCAGCCATCGACTTTGCTCCGCCCATATGCTCGGTCTACACAGGGCGTTGATCAATCCCATTTTGGTATGCGCCCCCGCACTCAACATTCATTCGGAACCCTAGTGCGTATTGAAAGCGCGACCTATACAATGACTTGCGGTGGCCAGCCAATGTACAAGTCAGTGTGTTTTCCCTCCCATACGAGTCTGGGACCAAATAGAGACCCCATAGGGATGGCATGCTCGGTTGACTTGGGCGGATATGGTTATTGGATGCGATCCAAGGGTCATGGTTTGTGATAATGGGCCACTTGCCACTACACCACCTCCGTCGTCTTAGCCTACATACTGCTTACTATATTCAATACTATCATGATGTCACTGGGAATCTAGTTAAAAATACTTGAAAAATGCTATTCACCTGGATCCAGCTGCATTGGAGTTGAATTCGCCTGCATATAGAGGGCCGCTGAGTGTTGTTGAGCTTCTCTGATACTGAAAATACACTATTCTGATGACATTTACTGCTTGAATTTTATAGAATAATTCAAGGGGATAACTACAGATTCAGCAGGTTCAACTGATATCAATTTGTGGTTGACGTTGGGCAATATCGTTACTTTAATTAACAAAGAAATGAGTAATGCCGAGATAGGCAATAACCAGTTTTGCTTCTAGGTATTACCTGTGCGGGAGCGGCGGACGGCCACTGGTGATTGTGGTGCTCGGGCCGGAAGCGCCCACTTGGTGCGAGTGATACATTTGAGGCTGATGCTGAAAACGTACAGAAACAACTCCATTCTGAACTGTTGCAAACCTAGAATTCCCTGTTCCTCTTGTGCAACTAAATATCGACAGGTATCGATCGAATCACTGATTGATTAACTGAGGCATTGCTGAATGCATGACAAATCCATCATTGGCTTTAGTTGAGCAAGAAGCTCCTGAAGCCCTTTCTAATCATTCATTCCATAGCATTCATGTTGTGTCTGATATCACCTATGATGCGTAAGTCACAACATTTCTCGAGAGAATGAATAGTCGACCAAAAAAGCCAACCTGAATCTCGTCCGTGACAGTGCATGCCTGTCGCTGCGCTATTCTCAGTCCAATTTTTACCAAGTAATATTGATACGCTAATAACGTAAACTTGCGCACCTTTCATTCTCACCTGCTGTTTTCCCTCACTACCAACCATTCCTTGAACCCATTCCGGATACTTATACAAGCAGCATGATCGGATTTTCTTGGGGAGAGGAGGCGGCTCTTCACTGCAGTTGAGTATTCATTGGAAAAAATAATCAAGGACATCTTCAAATTGTTAAACAGTACTAAGCACTCAGTACTACACCATCAGCAAGATGACAACGTGAAACTATATTTAACTTTCGCAAGTTATATTAGAAAGGGGCACCGTAAACATTAGCTTTCCGCAGAACAGTTCATTATGAAAAACCGAATCTACCTTCGCTAAAATCAAGCCCTCAAGCTCGGAGGTTTCTGTTCAAGCATGAAACAAATGACAGTGATAAAAGTAGAGGTATGATATATAGTTTCATATTAGGTTACTTGACACCTACACCCCCTCACCTGTGGGATGAACTTACTTGGAAGCACAGTTCACGATAACTTCGGGGTATTTAGTTCAAGACGTATTTGATTAGGGAATGGTAGAGAGAGTGACCACAAATGTTGCATGGACGATGTATTTCGGGGAGTCGTTTGAACGCGCGCGTCATTGCATACAGCTGGCTGCAATACGCTGCCTGCGTGCAAGGTGTGCGTCCCGGTGCGATCAGTGTCCATCCTGTACAGCCTCTACATTGGGGTGTGGTGCGTTAGGAACGAAATTGTCGCGTCGCGGTGAGAGGGGCGTCGCGCGCTAAGGAATGTAGCAGGATGCAGCAGTAGGTAAGAAATACAAGATCAAAAGTACTAATAGTTGAATTATGCATGAAATAATGATCGCGTATCGATTGAGCTGTATGAAGAAAGCTAGAGCTGTAACAACGGCGGATAGTGGTCCGCGACAGCCGCGTGCGGCAGATCGATTACCCAAAACCGTTCCTAACGCCCGTCTCCCTCTACATTGCTGTGAGAATTCGTTCGCCTTCCAATGTGAACGTACGAAAAGCTGAACCGGTTTTGAAGCTCTTATCACTTCCTATCTAGGCTGTTTTTCAATCTAACACCGGCTCTTGTGAGCTCTCAAGGGGTTACAGGTTAATCCTAAGGATAAATCCCAGAAATCATATCTACAGAGAACTGTGGTCTTGGTTGGTTGGCTGCTGACCTTTCTGCCAGACTAGACTGAGTTGAATCAATATATCGATCGTTTGGAGACAAGGACCATTTATACCACCCTTTTTCAGAACCTTGCATCCCCTTATTGAGAACTCGTCAGGAGTTCGTTTACATTAATTCACCCAAGTGGATGAAAACATTATAAAACACATCGGTTTCGTGTATTTGCGATCGCATGAGCATAACTGCTGACGTTTGTTATGTGAGTTCTATCACAACGCGTTCATTCTCCAAACAAAGCATCAGCTCCTCCAGTTGCTCCTTCTTATTCGTCAGGTTCACTGTATTTAGCTAGCCCAACGCAATGCACCACTATTTTATTCACTTACGCCTCTTCAACTTGCATATTACGTTTCTGCCTCCTACAGAGCTATGGCCTTGAACCCCTCCCACTTATCTTTCAGCACCTAAGAGCACTCTAAGTTTTTTGCACCAAGACCTTTCGTTTTCAGGAACCTATTTGCAACTACAATTACCACATTCAGATCCCACACAGGTGTGAACATATGTCATGGGCAGGCAAGCAAAAACGCGAAGTAAGAAGTACTGATTTACAGAACAAATGCATAACACGTTAGTTCACCTTCTATTGAAAGTACACCGACAAAAACAGTTTAGGTTTCTGCTGCTCTCACTGTCTGGCTGCTTTCATAGCCCCCGGCCGGCCAGCGGGTCAGCTAGCCGACGAGCCGGCGTGCCAACGAGGTAGTGCTAGGAGGGGGGAGGGAAGCAGACGGGCGGTCGCGTCGCGCCCCAGTCCCTTCAAAGGGCTGAAAACAAAAAAAAACAAGATCAAAAACCATTTGCATAAGCTCCTTCGAAGGGCAAACGCAAATGATTTTTGATCTTGCTTTTCTTTGTTTTCAGCCTTTCAAAGGGGTATAGGTGCGACGCGACCGCGTCGACGGCTCGCCTGCCTCCCTCCCCCCTCCTAGCACTACCTCGGCTGGCACGCTTGCACGCCGACACGCCGGCTCGCCGGCTGGCAGGCGGACTATAAAAGCAGCCTCTGAGGGAACGAAGATCACATAGTGAACGGGTATCAGGACTTAAAGGCACAGCTCACGATAAAAATGATATTTGAAATTCCCCCACAGGATGACTTAGGCCCCCGCGTATACCATAGCTGGCACTATTAGGTTGGGAAATGGGCCTAGTTAGGGAATTATAACGGCTCAAAGACTTGCCCGTTTGTATAATTAAACGAGTTCCACCGGCATTGTAGAGGCTGCACTTATCACAAGGGAACCCACGTAGGAAGTTCAAACAACTTGTCATGACCTATAACGACAGTGAAAGACAGTTCTGTACAGATCTGGCTTGATGTAGTCAGCTCTTTGTGCAATAGCAATAGCTGAAATCTCGTCCGAACACCCATTCCATGTTATTTCCGTCATGGCAATCTCGTCCAACCTCTATTTTCCCTATTTTTGAGGAGCCATATTTTCTCGAAATCGGCGAATTCTCTCGCTTTCTTCACTATGACTGTTCCCAATCTATGCTTCCGCTTTTCGAATAGAGACGGTTACCTCAGATTTCTCGTGAACTGTGCCTTTAACTATGAAGCGAGAGCAGCATTAACACACCTTCATTTGGTTACATTTTCATTTTTATCATGTTTATGATCATACTGAATCGTCTCCCAAATGTGTCCAGTTTAGGAGCCAAACATTATCAGGGCACTTCAGATAAGGAAAAAGGGTAGGGATAGAAGAAATTAGACGGTAGATGCTCTCGTACCGTGTGATGTTTTTATTACTTCCTCAGGTTCAAAGAGTTCACCGACATGGACCAAACGAGTAAGACTTAGGGTTACATGGCGAAAATATGTTCAGATACCCGGCAGGTATGACAGAGACTGGCAGGATTTTGTAATTTCTACAGCATATAGCCTTGTATTTATGTATATATATATATATTTATTTATTTATTACATGACGTGAGTCATGTAGCATAATAAGTTAGTAAAAAAAAAGAAAACATAAACTCCAGGAACAAAAGCACACAGTAACCACACTTCTGTAAGAGGTAGTTAAAAAGCGTAGGGGAGGTTGATGTTAATAAAAAAACTAAAACTGCAAGAAACGAGAAAGTCATCATGGCTCTAGATACTCATTAAGATATTTTTTGAAACTCGAGGAACTGATAGGTATGCTTTTCTTTTTGCTAAGGGCGAAATAAAGGGGGTGAACGCGATTAACGAAGAAGTGCGAACGGCAGTTCAGTCGAGATTTGGAAGGAACCAGTTTGAACGGACCATTTCTGGTAGTGGAAGCTCTGATGGTGTAAAAGGTACTAGGGTGAAGGCAGTGAGATCCCGTGAGAACCTTGTGGAAGGTTAGGAGATCGAACTTTTTCCTACGCCAGCAAAGTGAACGGAGGCCGAAATTGGCATTACGTTCTGCAGCAGAGGGAATGCTGTCGTACATAAATCCAACCACCCTGATCATCAGTTTCCTCGTGAAACTGTTCTGAACTTTTTCAATTTTGTCGATAATCTTGCGTTTGTGTGGGCTAAACACAACAGTGCCGTACTCCACCAGAGGCCTTACATAAACCTTGAAGGCTTGAAGTAGTACAGAGGGATTCCTAGTAGTCAGAGCTCTGAATAGTCTATGAACGGCATTGAGCCCTTTACCGGCAATCATCTCACAATGACTATCAAAAGAAAGATCCGGTTTGACCATAAATCCTAAATCAACAACCCCATCGACGGTTCGGATACCATTACCGTCAATACGGTACTCAAAGTGATCATCCCTGGAACATTTTCTAGAACTGAGGTGTACCACCTTCGTTTTCTCAATAGAGAGAGGTAGTTCTCATACTCTGGACCAGGAAGAGACAGCATCGTAGCATGTTGAAGTGAGGTGCAGTCTTCATTGGTGGTGATTGGCATGTAGATCTTAACATCATCAGCGACGCCACACACTTTGCCTGGCAGGACGATATAAAACTTGGCAACTCATACGTATAAATATTAGAAAGGGTTGGGGAGAGAACTCCCGAGGGACACCGCTGAGCATACGTCTAGGTCTGGACCAAATAGAATTGAGTCGCACCATAAACCAACGGTCAGATAGGAACGCTTTAATCCAAGAGATAATCGGTGTGTGTATGCCCACCATCTTAAGTTTGTCCAGTAGTTTGGCATGGGGAACTCTATCAAACGCCTTGGAAAAATCCAAGTAGACTACATCAGCACGTGCCCCGCTATCTAGATACGAGGTGAGATCGTTCAAAAAAGAAAGCATAGCGGTTATAGTGGACCTTCCTCTTTGGAAACCATGTTGGTTGGGAGAGATGATGGAATAATCCTGCAGATGGGACTCAGCCTTCTTATTCAAAACCTTCTCAAAAAGGCGAGCGAAAATCGACGTAATACTAATGGATCGATAGTTTAGGGGCTGCGTTGAGGGAGGCTTTTTAAGGATCGGAGTAACAAAGGAAATCCTCCACCAACGTGGTACCTCAGCTCTCATCAGACTCAAATTGAAGATATGTTGAAGAGGACCAGCGATGATGTGGGCAACATTTTTGATAAATTGTAGGGGTATAAAATGGGGTAGGAGTACATGTGATAGAGTAGGAGGACAACCATTTTGAAAGCAAGTCATAGATCTCTTCGGCATTGAACCAAATGGAATCTAACATAACCGGAAAGCAAGGGTTCGACATTTTGGGGACAGAGGAGGAGCTGGAATGGGACCTCGGCGCAAACGTTTCTTTGAAGACACTGGTGAGCAGTTCGACTTTGGCCTCGTCGGTCATTACTGCCACACCGTCAGTACGGATTAATTCAGTAATGGTGGATTTTGGCTTCAGTCTAGAAGTAAGAAGTCTAAAAAAAGAACCCTTATCACCACTTTCGACAACCTTCTTCTCAATGTTGTGGTTGAACTTCCATAACTTCTTATCGAAGCGCTTACTAAGCAAACGGTACATGGCCCAGTGTTCGTGGTCCCCCGTAGAGATAGCTTTCTCCCAAGCAGCATGTCTTTTATTCGCGAGAGAGCGAAGGTAAGCCGGAAGGTGGGATTTGTGAAGAGGAATCTGGACGATAGGAACGAAAAGATCAATAGCGTGGTGCAAAATTCCCAAGAACAACTCATACTTCTCGTCGACTGTTTCTACTGTATTCAGAGATCCGAACCAGTCGACCGTGCCCAGATAATGCGTAATGTTGTCATAGTTCGCGTGTCCGAAATTATGTTTCACCACCGTCAACGAAGAAGCATCCATAAGGTACACCTCGAATTTGAGACACACATGGTCACTAGACCTAATAGGCGGCATAGCCATCACTTTGTTGACCAGAGATTCATCATCACACAAAATAAGGTCCAACGTATGGTTACCGAGGGTATGGACCTTGACTAACTGTGTTAAAGAAAGAGACGAACACATGCTCAAGAATGNACCTAATAGGCGGCATAGCCATCACTTTGTTGACCAGAGATTCATCATCACACAAAATAAGGTCCAACGTATGGTTACCGAGGGTATGGACCTTGACCAACTGTGATAAAGAAAGAGACGAACACATGCCCAAGAATGATTTGGAAACACCACTAGAAGCATTGAGAATATCCGACCATACTATATCTGGTAAGCTGAAGCCGCCACAGATAAGACAGGAATGATTAGATGAGACAATATCGCTAATTGCATTGAAGAGCTGTTCAGTTGCAGAGGTGGTGCAGTTTTGGGCTCTGTATGTGACAAGGATGCGTAGGGGAGAGTCATTGATGACAATGTCGCAGCACAATATCTCATACCCATTCAGATCAGATTCTCTGAAAACCAGGTCAGGATAGAAAGATTTACGAATAAGATGCAACACCCCTCCACCTTTCTTGTTTTTACGATCACTCGCCTAAAAGTGATTGCATATCGATTGATGAATTAAACCACGTTTCGGTGAGCGCAACAATGGAATAAGAATGGTAAGCGAGATGCGACAAAAGAGCATACCTATTCTTGACTAATGATCTGATGTTGGCATAAAAAACAGAAATTCTCTTATCCAGCGACCGATGAGGACTTTCTAGTTTAACATTTTGTCGGCTGCGTTAGAGGCTCGATCAACAGAAGTAGAAACATCATCACTGTCAAAATGCGAAGGATCATGAACAGAAACAATTGGATGGGAAGGTAAAGAAGAACTACAATCGACCTGGTTATCAACCTTCTTTTTAGCTTTTCTCAGGGCGGCTAGTCATTCCCTCTCCGGTTTCGGCAGGGAGCGCCTGGTAACTTACCGGAAACCGGGAAAAATCTCAATTTAGGAGCCTTCTTAAGCAAATCAGACATGAAGAAGCTACTAGGAAACACTACTTTCAGAAGCCTAGGAGTAGTATGCCTCGGCTTCCCCAATCGATACAATGCAATAGGACTATATTCAATATTAAGAAAATGAAAAACCTTTTTTACGCAATCAACGTCATAAAGGACCCCTATTGACAGAGCTTACGTCAGAAGATTCACAAATACCAGCGATCACAACGGACCTGAGGCGTTCCTTTTCCTCACAAATGTCCGTGATGGAAGAATTAGGAGAAGCTACTCTAGAAGATACTGAATTATTATTCTTATTGAGAGCCTCCTTCAGAGTCTCCACTTCTTTCCTAAGTCTGTTATTTTCAGAAATCTCTATCTCCAGCTGAGTTACTAACTCACGATTCCTAGCTAGAAGCTAGCTAGAAAATAATTCTTCGTTGATGCGATTCGAATTGTCCAAAAGGTGCCCAAGTATCGTTTTGAGATGGGCCGGTAGATGGTCATCATTGATCAATAAGTCCACAGCGTCCGGGAGCGAGCCTCTCATCAACGTGGGAGAACCATGGCAAGAGCGCTTAGCAGGTCGTTCCTGAACAGCTCGACCCACGAGCGGGGTTTTCTCGGAAGCCATGAGACGAAAACAAAGATCAAGCTATTTACCGAGCAGGGTGGCAGTTCTTCTGAAAAGTAGTATCCCCGCCACAATGGAATGCGTCTTGACCAGAATCAATAATCAATAAACAGCACCAAGTGGCCGCTGAATCGGCAGACAATCAGCAAGTAGTACCAAAGTAGGAGTAGAACCGTATCAAACTGGCACGAATATCAGCGAAAGAGTCGACAGAATACTTGACTTCGGACAAAAAGACGAGTTCGCAAAGTAATGACAGTAATAAGACTCCTGTCGGGATATTGGAAGGGAGCCGAGGTATCCGCCGCCGCACACGGCCAGCGAGCGAACGAACGATCGTCTTGTGACTTAATTCTGAATATTTACAATTCCTTCTTTTCGTCTCGTTATTTTGTAATGTGCAATTGAATTGATACAGCTCTCCTAATCACTTCAGTAAAGGGAAGATGACTTTCAGAACAGTTTTTTTTCTTCAGAGTTCCTCCTACAGAATGCCACCTGAGACAGCTCACTTCGGCTGGCTGAGTTAGGCCTGGACACTGGAATTTAGAAGACAGGCTTCGTTGACAAGCCAATCTTCGAACCCTTGTGCCATGTAAATGGCGGAAGGCAGTGTTATGATATTTCGGAAGCAACGCAGACTCGCAAACTCGTCTGTTTTGAAAAGTATGAGTGTGTCTGCGGTGCAGGGACGGCACCAGAGGGCAACTAGTTCAAAAGTCTCGAAATGCATTCAAGACTTGCGTTGCAACCTCAAATACTGGCACATTGACAGGGTTTTCCTGCGGGTCGGTAAATGCGCCGGAGCGAAAAAGAATAGATTTTTGTGCCATGGAGGAGTCAGGAGACATGGACTGCGGCTTCACAGTAGTCCTTGCCACGACCCCAGAGCTGTCATCAGTGTCGGAGTTACCGCTTACTAACGGTTCCTGGGATCCCCTTTTGAACTGGAATCTCTTTTTGAACACGCCTATGACCGACATTCAGCAGGGGGTCCGGTATCTTCTCCCCGAACACTGTGTCGCGCTTGCCGCACCCGCCGAGTATCGCAGAAATGTGATGGAAGATTGGAGCGCGCAACTTGTGAATTTGGGAATCCTTTATTTATTTGAATTTGCTGGCCGATTCCTTCAATTCCAATGTGGTCTTGATCGTCGATAATATTGGAGGAGTCACTCCAAGCAATCTGGTCTATGAAACATAAAAACGAAAAAGAAGCAGAAAAAACAGTCGAAACTAATCAAACATGGAATGCAGTCAACGAAAAATATTATGTCCTATCGATTGGCGGGGAGGCGGGCTGGGTACGGTAATTGCAGTTTGGAGCCGAGGACAACCAAAAAGGTTTGCCGCATGCCGCAAAGCGAACGTGGGAAATCGGGATGAAGTTTCGTCACCCTTCAACAGGTGCCTCTCCAGATTTTATTTCGCAGTCGGGTGCAAGGCTGCGGATGGGATTTCTGAGAGTTCAAATGTAGGCTCATGTCTGCACCAAAAAAAAGTGCGAGTTCGGTTTCTGACGAGACAAGAACCATGCTTTGCAAAAATTTGCGTAAATGTGATGTTACCAGCGTCAGACCCAGGACGACAGATCGTGTCATGGGAAAACCCAATCACAAAAGCAGGGAAGTCACCCAGAGAAGGTGTATTGAGCTCCCGCTCATGTTCTGTGGACGGCATGCGAGAACTACCGAAGAGTGATCGACCTCGGACAAAGAAGTTAGTTCGATGTGGTACTCTGAATGTGAAATCGCTGAGTGGATGTTTCGAGAAGAAGCTGATTTTATAAAGTTAACACCTACGTCCTACGCTTAGGAGGTACGCTGGAAAGGAGCGAAAGCCACGTGAGTTGGGGAATGCGTCGCTATCACAACACAGGACAATCAAACGAAATGGTGTGACCATAGGAGTATGGGAGCTGAATCATAGCTGTGAAGATAGGCAAAACAAAGAGGAGCCGTGAACAGTAATACCCTGTACCCACTGTAAGCCGGTTGCTCCGAGTACGGAAAAGACGAGTTCTATCTAAGCTTTGACGATTTCATCAGATCGGTCTCGGAAGGGGCTACCTCACTATGGCAAGTGACCTGAATGGGTACGTTGGCAGTGAGCGGAGGTCCTAGAAAGAGTTAACCGAGGTAGAAGAATAGTATTCGGGAGGGGGAGAGTCCTTTTTTCGTCCACAGCTAACGGCCTGTGCAGTCTGCAGTACTTTCATTTTAAAAAAAAAGTAACTCACAAGATACCAACACAACAAGCGGGGAACACATAGAAGCAGGTCATGTGCTTCTGAAGAGAAATCCCAGAATCTGCGGAGGGCGTAAATGTGTTCTCTAGCTGAGTTTGACTTAACAGCACAGGCTTCTCCTAGCATTTAAAAAGCTTTTGTAAGAAATCATGAACAAAAACGATGCGGAAAGCGGAAGCGCATCGAGGATAAAAAGATAATCCCGATCGGAAAATACTCGAGGCTAGTCTTCCAAATCCCGAAACTGATTTGGCAAATCTGGAGCGACACCATGAAAGTCATTCTACGATGTGCAAGGGAAAAGCTAGAAGAGACGCAAGATGGATTTCGAGGAGACAAGGAAGCCTGAATATGGTGCTATGAAGTTAAAAGGAACAATCAATCAGCCTACGAGCGCTGGCAAAAGACGAGAGTTGCAGTAGACATAGCTGCCTGCAGAGGTTGCCAACGCAGCCTCAGCAAAGGTACGAGAAGCTCGATGGATGGGAATGAGAGTGTTTTCAGGCTGGTAAACGCGGGCTGCTCAAAACTTGTGACTAATCACGGCTGTGAAGGACAGCGACGCATAATTGAGAAAACCTGGTGAGGTCAGGCGAAGGGGGAAAGAATATTCTGATGGGCTTCTAAAATACGAAATCTAACGAATTCCCCAGGTAAAGAGATCCTATCACGTTTTGGATGTAGGATGAAGTCCGTTTAGCTGTAGGGAGGATAAAGGTCGGAAAGGCAACTGGTCCGCACGAAGTACCAATCGAGGCATCCTGGATATGAGGCGTTCCGGAACACCTCATATCCATGGAGAAGGACACGTAAGATAGGTCTACGACAAAACTGCGCACTCCTCACGGCCTAGCAAAAACAGTAGACGGTACCGTTAGGGTCTCCATGGACCAGCTTGGAGCCCGTTGGTCTTCCTACTAAGTGGACATCACGAAAGGACTCCTCAGTGAACCATTGAGGACCATTTTCTATGCTATGATACATTCTGATAGCGAAAAGTAGTGAAAGACTTCAAGGCGAGCTGCCGAAATGGCAAAAAGTTCTGGCGAAAAATGGGCGTCTGTTGAACGTGAAGAAGACCAAGTTCCTCAGCTCCAGGGAATGCGCAGAGCAGGTCGTGGGTTGTGTGGAAGAAGCTATAGAAATAGCGTAGCTTTCTCGATATTTCGTGAGCGAATGGCAACTGAGATATGTGGAGCAGGCTGTAAGAGCAGCATGGAC